TAGACCCTGACGCGGCCTGCAGTGTTCGAGTACAGAGCACGAAGGATGTTCACATATTTCGTGGGAACACCTTTTTGCGCAAGTAATTCGAACAGAATCGATGGATCGACCGAATCGAACGCACTCCTGTAATCGAGGAACACAGCTATTGTCGGTCTGCGGTATGCGTGGCGCTGCTCTAGCACCTGCCGCAAAGTAAATATATGGTCTATACAGCTACGTCCTGGGCGAAAACCGGCCTGCTCTTCCCTAATCCGAGATTCCCGTTCTGCAGTGAGGCGACGAACGATAATCGAGGCCAATAATTTTGTCACAACTGGCGTTAGGCTAATACCCCTGTGGTTCGCACAGTCTGTGCGACTGCCTTTCTTGTATATTGCCACTATAATGGATTCGCCCCAATTAGCCGGCACACTCTTCGTTCCATCTACGTTCGAATAGGGAGGTCAGTGTCCTGCAGAGGACCTCACCTCCATCCTTAAATAGAGCAGGTGGGAGGGAATCCGGGCCAGCGGCACGAAAACGATTGAGGGCCGTGATCGCGTTTCGGACATCGGCCTCTGATGGAGGCTCTAAACTAACCGTCCATGGCTCGTCCTGCATCACCTGAGTAGGAAGAGGTCCGAGAGCAGGGGGCCAGCTGAACTGATCTTCAGTGTTCAGCCCAACGAGCCATACGGCGCTCCTTATTGTGTATCAGCGCACCCGTGCTGTCTCTGATTGTCTCACTGACGCCTGGTTTTCTGGGACAAGTGGTGCGGATTAGCTGGAAGATGTTGTGGTAATTGCCTATTGTTCCTGCCTCCTCCATTTCTTGAGCCCGACTGGTCCACCAGGCTTCCTTGTCAGCACGTAGGCTCCGCTTTAGTTCACGCCTAATAGCCCGTCTGGTCACATTGTGTTCAGAACCAGACGGGAGGTGTCTTCTAGCTTCCAACAGGTTCACGGACCTCTCCGATATCCAGTGACTGGTGCGATGACGACTGATAGTGCCACAAGCAGATGCTCCTGTCGTGCATGGCGGCCGAAATCCTATTCCGTTGAAGTTGTGTCATTAGGACAAGACAGCGAGAGTTCGGTATGCAGTGCTTCTTGATAGGCTTGCCTGACCGCGGACTGAGACAATTTCTCCGTTGCTAATCGGAGGAGACGCTTTGCGCGCCTTCCGGTATAGTCCATGGAGAAACGACAGCGTACCAAGGCATGATCAGAGTCGACACAGGTACTCCAGTACGAGCGGCAATCCAGAATGGAACCGCGCCACATGTAACTTATGGCTATGTGGTCAATTTGGGTCCATCGCTGTACAGCTACAGGTGGACGCCAAGTGGCACTTCAGCGCCCACTATGTCTAAAAGCAGTGCTACTAAGAAACAACTGGTGCTCCGCACACAGTTGCAGCAGACGCTCGCCGTTGTCAGTCCGTTCGGAGTTAAGTCTATGCTTACCACCCAGATGAGCTTCTGAAGAGCTCAGACGCCCTACTTGTGCGTTCATATCCCCTGCAAGTACTATAATATCTGAACTAGTAGCACTGCGTAGCAGCGTGTTCAGTTCGTGATAGAAAGTGTCCTTGACTGCATTAGAACTGCAGTCCGTGGAAGCATAAGCAGAAATCACAAACAAACAGCGTTTTGTTTTACTTCGCGAATTCACCTTAGCTGATGTCGTTAAACGGGCTGCACATAAACGGCTGTTCACCGGAATCCAATCAACCAAAGATGACTCAGCCTTGGAGCATAGAATGATATCTACACCAGCTTGACCCGTGAGTGCCGCATCGGCGTCTCCGGATGCGTGCAACCAATAAGTAGAGGATAAGCCGGGTGCAGTCAATTCAATAACCCTGTTAGGGTCATTAATCCTAGTTTCGGACACACAACACACATCAACACCCAGTGTGTCCAAGGTGCGTGCGAGTGCAGCCTGCTGACCTGAGTGCGGACGTTGAATGTCGCCATGGAAACGGGACAGCGTGGCCTTATAAGGGACTTTTGCCGATAGGCTGCAGATGGTTCTACTCCAGTAGCACTGCGGTTGCTGTCAATTAAGCTGGGAATTATAGAAGGAAGGTTAGTAATGGGTGTTGGGATGGGAGTAAGAGAAAAAAGTGGAAAATAAAGAAGGGAGGCGCCAGCAGGAGCATGTTTAAGCTTATCTGCCCTGCTGTATGCAGCAGATAAGGCGACCCTTGATAATCTGCGCGACGGCCGATGCAGGATGAATTTTATGTTTAAAGAAAATGTCATGGTTGTATGTGGGCTGGGATACTGCCAGGGCGCCCAGACCTAGACAGGAGGACGATTAGGGTCCTCATTAAAAGCCCTTGGCTCAAAAGCCTGTCCGCAAAGCAGTGGGGAGATGGCAAGGATTTAGTTTTACAGAAATGGACGCCATCCCATTTCAAACCCCCAACTTGGAGGACCAGGAGACTGAGTTTGTCTGACCTCTCACCATTGACCAACCTGGTAGGAGTAGCTCTCAAGAGGCTCTGAGGCATCACCCAGTATAGCTCAATGGGTCAATGAGGTACGCAAACCGTCGCACCACGTTAAGGTCCAGTCTCGTTGCGAAATATGTACTTCGGGATCTGAGATTTGTAAGGACAGCCATGTCTCCGTAAACGCCATAAAGTCCGGAAGGAGTGCGGACGCAAGATGTGCAACTTAATCCAGTTTGTTACGCAGACTGCGCACGTTCACAAACAGTAGGTGCAATCCAGTTGTTGATCTTAATGTCCGGGAAGGACAAGAACTGGCTTCTAGCAAGTTCTCTGCATTTTCCGAACCACGTGAAAATCCTCAACACGCAAATCGGTTTCACAGTTCAAAAGGCAGATTCTCAATACAACAACTGCTATCTCCACTTAAACGCGGTCGTCCGGGGATAGATCACGCAACATGTGGAACGGCTTTGCTTTGAGGTGCGAAGTCCGCCGACGGATCCGACGGCATCCATCTGCACTCCGGCATACAACCTTAAGCATAAGCATCTTGGAGGAATCTTTATGCCTTCTTCCGAGACGAAAAGCAGAAACGGTTTCCTCTCATCGATAAGTAAAAGCATACCATTTAAAAATAACCAATCATCTAAAATTCTTGCCGCTGCCGTTCTTTTAGCCGTCTTCGGGGAGTTCATTATGATGAGACAATGTTCCAAGTTAGGGAGTTTGGCGGTCACATGGATCGGTGGCTGAGAAGCCGGCTTGTCCTTGGTCAGTGTCACTAAATGTTCGATTTTATGAGGTGCTGATTTCAGCCCGCGCTTTGGAGGTGACGGTTTATCTTCTACCAACTTAGATATAGGCTTATGCTTATGCACAACAGGAATCCGGCTTGGGGAAGCAGCTGCCTTGTCCTTCTTGACAACGGTCGCGAATGTCTTGGGCAGAGGCTGACTATTAGACGTTCGTGACGGATGGGACAAAATCAGGGCATAAAGAATTGAGAAAAGCGAATTTTGGGAAACAATCTATTGGGTATCAAAGTGACCACTAACGAGGCGAGGAGTAAAAGCAAATAACCCAGACTGAGCACGCTGGTTGAGTAAAGGAAAACAGGAGCCATAAAAGATACCAACAAAGGAAGCTGTATACAGCTGAAGACAATGATAAAAATTTGATGAGATATCACAAGTGATATGCAACCAGCCGTCGCAGAAAGAACATTGAACTGCCTTTGAACGGGTAGTGACACCTATACCACAATCCGGACACGTGGAAAACCTGATGATCGGTAGACCAGCAGATTCCTAATATTCCGCGCACCTCGAAGCCCGTTTGAATCACAAGAGAACGGACAAAACCTAATTTTGTCAGAAAGAAAACACACGGGGTTTACTATCAAATGGGAAATGGTATTTCCAGCACAGGTACTGCACATAGTGGAGTCCCCGAGGGTTCAGTACTGGGTGCGCTACTGTTCCTAATGTGCGTAAATGATTTGGCCCCCTTTCTTGAACAACCGTCCTATATTTCCGATGATGACTTCAAGTTTGTTAGCAAGGGTGACAGAGTTACCCTATCTAAAAATTTGGCTACCGTTATTAAATTGTCACACATGGAATCTGCCCTTAAGGGTCAGCAAATGCCAAATAGACTCGCAGTGGCGAAAATGTGGTACCGCAGGCACTTGTTGGGTCCCTGACAATGCAATGTGCTATCGAAGCATGTGGTCTTGGCATCATTGTGGCGAATAATTTCAAGCCGTCGAGCCAATGAAAGCATGTTGCTAATAAAACAGATGGAGTTAGTTGGATGTAAGAGCTCTGAGTTGTACTAGGCTAGAGGTCTTTCTCCCCTTATAATAAGCAGTCGTCAGACCGCATTTGGAATGTTTTGTTCAGGCCTGTGTGCTTTTCTTGCAGGACGTAAATTGTATTGAGAATATGCAGACTGGCCACACGAATGGCAGAAGGCCAGTGGAGAATAGGTTATGAGGTACGGTTAGCCAACGCAACATTGTACTTAGTGAGGAGACGCAGACTGAGAGGCTACCTATTACAGACATTCAACTTCTCAGCGGCCTCAGGCCAACTGATCCCAGAAGCAACTGCGTCGGACCACTTGCTGGGCCATAGTCCAAAGCTGAAATAGCAGAGATCTAGGCTCAATATTAGAGCTAAATTCTTCTTAAATCGTGCCGTGCCTAGTTGGAACCAACTTTCTGCATTATTGGAATGTAAAACGGCAGGACTTCAGAGACCTGGACGAAAGGGGGTTAGCCCTGTCCCCCGAATTGTGAATACTCATTTCAGCCTCTAAGCACATGCAAGTAGCCTACGCAAATAATTGAAAATGCAGTTACTTGCTCTTTTTCTTTTTCTAATGTAAACGCAATAATCGAAGTGCTGGGAGCTCTTCTCGCGTACTGGCACAGGAAACGGAACGCTGGTTAAGCGAAAGCGTATTTCGACCCAGGATCCTGTCCCGTCATGCCTATTGACACCATACAGGTCATAACAGCAACGAATAATAATGCATGGCTTTAGTACCAACTTACAAGAGAAAACTGCCCAAGGAGCTTGTTGTCACCAGCCATCTCACGTTCGCCTTGATAAACCTTTATTTCAACTTGAGTTTGGCCGTCGGCCGCGGTCGAAAAGACTTGCGATTTTTTGGTAGGTATGGTAGTATTTCGGTTAATTAACTTGGTCATAACGCCTCCTAATGTCTCGATTCCGAGAGACAATGGGGTCACATCAAGTAGGAGGACGTCAGTGACGTCACCAGCGAGTACACCACCCTGAAACCACGTCAGGCAAATTATCAAACTACCTGAATGGCTGCACCCATAGCCACTGCTTCGTCAGGATTGACGCTTTTGCTGGGGGTTCTACCGAATAGCTTTTGGACTGTTTCTTGCACCTACAAATAGGCGACAGATAAGAAGACGAACCTTAGGCATGCGAGTCATTCCACCGACTAAAATTACGTCGCCCAAATCAGATGGTTTGACATCGGCATCTTTCAACGCCTTCTCACAGGGGGCAATAGTTTTCTTGATCAAAGAATCAACTAAGGACTCGAATTTTGAACGAGTTAGCTTCATGTGCATGTGTTTGGGTCCAGAGTGATCCATAGTCAGATATGGCAAATTTATATCCGTTTGTAAGGAGGAAGAAAGCTCAATCTTTGCTTTTTCAGCGGCTTCTTTGACTCGCTGTAGAGCCATGGGATCTTTCGTGACATCGATACCTTGCTGCAAGGAGATTATGAGTAATTGGTAAACTTGCATCTTTCTTGAACTCGGAGACTAGGTGGCTAACAAGTACATTATCAAAATCCTCGCCGCCAAGGAAGGTATCTCCATTTGTTGATTTAACCTCAAAAACACCCTTCTGTATTTCCAAAACAGATATATCGAAAGTGCCGCCGCCAAGATCGTAAACTGCAATTCTGCAAAGGCATTAGTTATTTGATGGCATACGTTTTGTCACCAACACGGTCCAAACCATAAGCGAGAGCAGCAGCGGTAGGTTCATTAATAACTCTTAGAACCTCCATGCCAGCAATCTTACCAGCATCTTTCGTGGCCTAGGTGTGTTTGGTAGAAGCAGTGTGCGTACCTGGCGCTGAGAATCGTTAAAGTATGCGGGCACCGTTATGACAACATTCTTAACCTTGGAACCAAGATAATTTTCTAGGCAGGTAATGGGTAAAATAGCAACATACCAGCAGTTTCTTTCATTTTCATCAGCACGAAAGCGCCGATTTGACTGGGTGAGTAAGCTTTGCCACGAGCTTCAACCCAAGCATCGCCGTTAGAAGCCTTAATAATTTTGAAGGAACTATTCTTCATGTCTTTTTGGACCTCGGGGTCGTCAAAACGGCGCCCGATAAGACGTTTGGTGGCTGACAAAGTATTTGCCGAATTTGTGACTGCCTGACGCCGAGCAGGAGCTCCAACCAATCTCTCGCCCTCTGCTGTGAATGCAACAACAGATGGGGTAGTTCGGGATCCTTCAGAGTTCTCAAGTATCTTCGGCTGTTTTCCCTCCATCACCGCAACACAGGAGTTGGTTGTACCTAAATCTATCCCGATGACATGCCCTTTTGGTCCAGATGAAAAGTATGAGAAAGTATGTCGGAATGACGAGGGCTGGAAGAAATGATAAGTGGCTGTAGATGACATACGACTCGCAGACGACAGTAGGAAACCATCATACACGACATCGCGTGAAGACAGCTCACGATACTCGCAGAAAGTGTGCTACAGTATAGAAAAACAAGAGCGCATGTGAAAAATGCAACCGTCCATCAGCTCAAAAATAACATAATGCTACGCTTTCTAATTGTTTCCTACTTATACCCTAGAATAAGTTATTGATTTGGTTGCACCTGACCTTCATGCGGCTACAACACGTTTTGGCGTGCCATTGTAACGGAGTTATTTTGGACGAATAATCGTAGCAAAACGGTTTGTTCGAATCATAAATGGGAATTCGACTATTGTTCAATATTTGCTAATCCATGGCTTTATGGATTAGCTAAACGGGTACTGTATCAAGCGTATCGTCTGCACATGTTGGTAATTTGCTCCGTGCTTCCGTTCATTAACGCATTTTTGCACCGGTTTTACTCGTTCGCTTTCCGTCGTTTTACCGCTCCATTATTACTAGGAAAGCTGCTTTTTTCCACCACAATATGACCACTTCGCTATGCTGCCTCGTGGGTGAACCCCAGAGTCCCCAGCTGATGAGCCTATTGCTGCTTGCTACATGCTAGTTTAAATTCAAGTTTAAATGGGACTGGACCAATAGAAAAATCACTCACGTGTTTATGCTTGAGCGGATCGTTGAGAATTGAAATGAAACGTTGCTAGGCTGTTTCTTTGTTTCTAAAACGAAACATCAGAACCGAGCCTGGTCGACCAATTTCTGCCCAAACTACTTACACGAGCAGACTTGGCTGTGTAGGTTATGTAAAGTAATGAAGTTGCAAAATAAAAGGGTTTAAGAAGAAGGTAAATTATTCAGGTGAAGGACAACAGCAAAGCGTGCTTGTTATGAAAAAAGATGATCTCAAATTTGGAGGATGGTTAAGGACAGGAGAAGGGAATGTTTTCGTGGTTATACAAAAGAGCGTCTAACTCTCGCTCGAAACCTTTAAGCGTAGGTTTACTGACTATACTTTCTGAAAACGAGTTCCGGCGCTCAGTGACTCTACGCGCTAACCGCGTTTCCGCAACGATCCGATCGGAATGTGGCTTGCGTAGCTACATGGAAAGACCGCGAAGACAAGATAACCTAGCCGAACTAAATAGCCAGCCTAAGCCCGGTCCGACCCTCCCTGTTAAATGGTGGTAAGTACGGGTTGTAGCCTTTCGAAGTTGTCGGTAGTACTTTGAATACACACAAGCTAATTAGACGCTCGGGGTAGTTTTGCCTTCGTAACCTCTCAACCAATTTTGTGCCTATCGTCAAGCCACACTGGAGCTCCATTGTGCCACAATAACGCATGGCGGGCAAGCCTAGATGCAGTATTCCAGAAGGGGCGGAACGAAAGCTGAAAGCAGCTTCACAACTATACCGTCAGTTAGGACCCGGAACCAGCGGCGCAATAACCACAATATTGTGATTAAGTCGTGACATGGGATCCTGGGCATGCAGTGAGACGACTACAACCGCTGGTACCAGCAGAATTAAGCTGATTTAACGGCTGGTCAAGACACAAAGCTGTTGACCGGGGAGTTTGCTTTTCAACAGTGTGTAATAGAGACGTCAGCAGAGACGTCTGGCTTTTATCGGTCGAAATGGCTAAGCTCTTGACGCTAGCCAGCTAAGGTTTGGGCAAGCAGTCATTGTACTCTTCAATGTGATCTCCAACGGAATGGAGTCGATACTGAAGTTGCTTGCTTGCCCGCAATGGTGCTCTTTGGATCTGCGTTGCACTGTCGATCAACTGGTGACGCCGACCACCATGTCACGCGCTCCACTTGCAGTGTGTCACATCAGTTACGCTGCACAAGTTAAGATGTTTGGCTATGCACAGAAGTCTGAATAAACGCGCGTCTGCAGGCCCGCTAAGTTAAAAATGCACCGCACTAATTGTGTCCGAATACCGTTGAAACAATCAGCGCCATTGTCATCGTGCAAGCGGATTATTCGTTAAGGGACCACAGACACTTGATGTACCTCTTCTTGCTCACCGGCTGTGTTCCCAATAGTGGGCGGCACCGACGAAGTAGTTTCGGATAACCTAATGAATTCCCCTCCATCATGGCCGTAATGCTTGTCACCGCGTCAGTTAATCAGAAGAGGAAAAGCGCGAGTGATGCACGTTAACCCCCGGCCAGGCCTGACAGTTTAAAAACAGCATTTAAGGAAAAAGCTTACGCTGCAGGTTCGTCCTCGGCTCGTACGATAAGCGGTTACTGTCCACACTAGCGGCGAAGCCAGATTTGTAAATATAGATGGAAAACCAGTAGGGCAGCAACACATTATATTACATGCCATTTAGCGGTTGAAAGGATGGATAACGAAGCATCTTCCACCAGGTTATCGACATGTTACCATTAGGAAACTCCTTCGACTAAATATCGTCCCAACGTGTATGCCAAAACCTTGACTTCAGTTGCCGGCGTAACCTCTTCTAGCCCGTAGGAATGCAAAGCGCCGTTGCGTTGCGCGTTTTAACGCAGCAGTAGGGATATCAGAGCACAGCAAGCTTTTGCGTTGGTGGCTTGACTGCAATCAAAGGAAGCCAGAATGGACCACTAGAACATGTCTGCTGTTAGAGAACAAAATCTGCCGTTAGTTTACTTTTAGTTAGGTGGCCGGTGGTCCTTGAAACTCTATCGGCTACCTAAGCCGAATTCCTCTAGCAAGTGCATAGTCAGTTAAGGATAAGAAGGAGGAAACTGGTCTGGTTGTAGCCGAGTCTTAGTCCAGCCTAGTTGTATTCAGTTAGACGTGGTTTTCTTGGGATATCATGGACTGTTAAGTAAACATACTTGGCTAGGCATCTTTAGGGTGTGATTGGTCGGTAATCAAAAAGGCAGAAACGTCGTTCTTTACGTAAGCTGTAAATACGGAACTTTATGTACCTGTAGTTCATTTGGTGGACAAAACTATTGATGCCCTATTGGCTCCACAACAACTTCCGCCACAGCTTAGAGTTGTAGATGTTTATGAACGCAATAGTAGTATACCCAACTTTGACCGGTTTCAACGACTGCTGCCAGATCATTACCAAGCCAATGTGTCAAGCAGCGAATAAATGTGGTGGCCAATGGACTGTGAATACGGGATGCAAACTTAGTCTGTAGGATGCATCGAAGGCTTTCACTACGGTTGAAAATAACTTACTGCAGTGTCCCAGGATGTCGTTTGTTTTTGTCTTGAAAGAGATCTCCTTAAAAAACCACGAAGGTCCGCTTAACAAAACTGCGACGCGGCGGTCGTGACTCGCCACTGCATAAAGTCCCTGCTGAACATTACACACTGACGCAGTAGTCAGAATTCTATATACAGAATATGCAACCGATGTTGCTATGGAGAACTCTTTAATGGAGCAACGAACGTTCGCGCTTTTAATAAACGACGGTTGCAACGGAAGCTTACTTTGGCTCCTGTTCTCATGGACTAATACATGGCGAAGTCACGCTTAGGTTAATTATTGACACAACAGGTATGACTGAGGTTTCTGCGCCACGGCAACGTCATGTTCCTCGGTCGGACTATTACTGACAAAACGCTCACGGTATGAACTACGAACATTTCGGCTATATGATTTATTGAAACGAAATGTTTTACCATTCCAAAGCAGCAACTCTGGTGTGCGTATTTTATCGCGCCTTCCCTGGTGTGCTTCTGTTAACCAAGTATATACCATTTGTTTATTTATTTATTTATAAAGTGGTGCTCGAATTTATCAGCTCTCAGACTGTAAACCACTTTTGGTGCCGAGCAACTTCAACCACCCCGGGGATTTGCTGGGCAGACCTACGCTGCAACTCAGAAACAGGTATTTATTGTGCGGCTCTCTTTAAGCTTTTGCTTGATTTCCACTGTACCATCAAGTTTCATAGCCATGGATTTTGACTTATGTCGCGAAATCTACCTGACCGATACCGTTCAGGTAGCCTACGATACAATTAGGCATTATCTGGTTTCCGAGGAGATACTAGATAAGGGCACAGACCCTTTGGTTGGATAATAATGGTGGGCACCTGCACCCTTTTCGGTCTAATCACTGGTGTGCTTGACGAACATCTCCGTCAAATTGCCGGTGGTAAAAAGTGCGAGGCAGGAAATAATTTTAGACGCTGTGTTGGAATCTAGGCCGATGTACGAAAAGGGACTGGCTGACCGTGAATCGGGAAATCCGAAAACGTGCTTCGCTAATGTCAAATGGAGCTGTGATTCAATTTCGGTACTTCCAGCCTTAATGCATGGGGACCCTGGCTAGGATTGTTTGCTTGCTATTCAGCAGGCAAGGGATTTGTACGTAAGTTTGTTTTGACTAGCGTTAAACTTGCCCCTAGCGTCTCTTGTTTGGAGATCTACACTTTGAAATTCGCTCCAGGTTCGCGGTTCTGGTACGCTGTTTCTGGGCTACATTTTGCCTCCATTTTCCAATATTCGTGTATTTTCTAGCTAAGTGGGCCGGCCTTTCAGTCGCACTTTTCTAAGAAAGGCTAAATTGTTAGCCACTACTGTTATTTCCCTTGTTTCCACCCTCCACGTTTACGATCCAATTTTGGCTTGCTTATTCGTTTCTATGAGCCCGCTACTAATGGATGCTCGAAATGCGGTGATGTGACCAAAGAAAATGGATCAAATTTCCTCTAGTGGTGCATTTTCCATCGAAAATAACACAATCCATTGGCATAATAGATTGATAGTTTACTAATGGAATCAGGCACCTCAAGGTTTGGCAGCGGTAGCCGGTGAAAAGCGCAGAATTCGTACATAAGCTACGGAGACCCAAACTTCAAAAAGGTCGTGGCCTACGAAACGTTTGTTTTATCCCTGCTTTACTGTTCGGAAAGATAAACACGATCAAAAGCAGTTGTTAACGATATTTCCTCTCCATGCATGAGCATAGATGTTATGTACAACTTGATCTGATCCCACGCAGGAACAGCATCTAGCGCTTGTCTAGAAATATACCTATATTTATATTTATATATTTATTTATTTAGTCGGATTAACCGTGGAGGAAAGGTATTTCGTTATACCGTTACAAAAGCTGCATTGTACTAAAGCAA